CGGTGCAATCATGCCAACCACATGATATGTCTTAAGCTAGGGTAGAATTAAGCACATAAACAAAATTTAATGATGAAAATTTGAATATTTTGGGATAATAAGTTATGAAAACCTACAAAATAGGATAAGTTAATTCTAAACAGTTGTTTGACCTAAAATAAAGGCTGATCAAGATTAAAGACCCAAAATAAGTCTAAACATTATTTTCCCACCATTCTAGAAAAGATGGAATTACTGAAGCTCTTTTGAGTTAATTACTTTAGCATTTTTACTTTTTTCATTTTAGCAATTAGAGGCACAAAAGAAAATGTTGCACTTTGGATACAAAAACAAAGTAATACTTCTGAAAAATTAAGAACATCATGTTCATGGATATAGAAACACATGATTCAGTTTCAAATGATTTTATTCCAAGTGGAGTGTGATTTTTTTCCCCATTTTCTCATTCTAAATCATAAATATGAATTTTATTTTTATTATTTACTTGAATAAACTTCTGAATATACAAACATCAAATAGAAAAAGAATTGCAGCTTAAAATATATGATTTCTAATGTTTGGACAGAAAGAGATAAAATCCCCCTTCAATCAACTGCTAAGGATTTATTATGGTTATTTTAACTTACCTGAGCTCTAAAGAAGGCCAACATTACTTAACCTAAAATTTTCTTCCTGACATCATCAGTCAAGAGGATAGTTTTCTCCCTAGTAGAAGAATAGACATTTAAAATGGTTGGTGATCATGCTGAAGAAGCATCCTGAAAGAGACTAGTTTTACGTTCTTTATATCTATTTGTTCTGGACATTTTCGGCCAATACATCATCACAAAAGCACTTATGATATTTACAACATGAGAACTGTTAGTTTGACTTGAATGTATAGATCTACTCCAATAAATAGACACGAAAATTCATTAAAAAAAAAGAAGGCTCATTCAGTAAAAAAAAGTTTCAAATCTTGCCTTCTGTATGCAGCAGTTCTGCGGAATACTGTTTCATTTCTCTGGCTTTTTGCACACATACTTCTACATCCTTCCAGTGTGAAAGACTAGCGTACAGAGTTGCAAGGCCATACCAAACTTCATATTCTTTTACTTTATCATCAACCTATCAGTAAAAATAATAAAGTTTAATTTCGAAGCAATGAAAACCAAAATATCAAACAATTATAACACTCAACAGAACACAACTAACCCTCTCAAGGGCAGGCCTAACCCAGAATTTATGCATGAAGGGAGAAAAGAGAAAATAAAATATATATGTAACAAAAATAGCAAGGTATTTGAAACAGTAAAAAATAATAAGTGCAACAAATATAGAAAAGAGCAATATCATCAAATTCCAATAGAGAGTTTTTTAACTAAAAACAACAGTGAAAAACGAAGCCTTTTTCCCATTAAATAGATCCATATTTAATGACAGTGCTTTGTTTAGATCCCATGCTTTCCCATTGTGCACTGTTTGGATTTATATTTTTTTTCATAAGATCAGTAAAATCATGAAAGTCCCACATGAATTAATCCCTCAACTAGCATATTTCTATCCTCTATCAAATCATGTCACCATCATATATCATGCACAATGTCAGTCTAAAAGGGATACTAGTTCTGCTATCTGCGATAGGAATAGGAAAACATCTTCCACGAGACAATTATGTGAACTCATTTTCACTATTGTTTCAAGGGAGAGCTTTAAACAACTTGATGCCTCGATGTTTGAAACTCAAAACCAACATAAATCTCAATTGGTAATATAATTAAAGCAAAATGATTAGGCATACTTGTTCTTTAAAACAAGAATCTTGCTTCATCATTCAAGCGACATGATTAATGCACAATGATTAGCCATATTTTTCCTTAAAATAAGAATCTTTCTTCATCATTCAAGCAACAGAAAGTGGTTTACTGAGCTCAGATTTTTATGGAAATAGTGCAATGTAACAGTCTATGCCACACGGTACTATTACTGCTGACATATTGCATTAGGGACATTTAAATGTAGCTAAAGCAACCATAAAAACATTAAAATAAACATTATTATGAAAAAACTTTTTATTACTTAAGCCAAGTTAAGAAATAAAATATTTGATTCGAACCTGAGAATCAGGTTTCACATGACCAAATGATTTTCTTTGGGCCTGAACCAATGCAAGGAGGTGACGATAAGTATCAATAGCTTCCATGGGTTGCGACTGTGAGACCTTCAATTTTGCTTTCAGCCTGAGCAGTGGTCCTTGCTCCCATTTTCCAGTCTCATCCAATGCAGCATCAGTGACTATTGCAGCCTCTGCAAATCGCTGTTGAGCTGACAAAATTAGAGCAAGCAATCTCCAACCCTTTAATACAGAACCACCAGTCATATCAATGTACTTCTTTGCAAAACGCAAAGCAGTATTCAAATTCCGCTGCTCTGCATAATGAACTCCCAATTCAAAGATTACATCAGGATTATCCTGCTCAAGGGAAAGTGCTGAATCTAAAGATTTAAGTGCTTCATTCTGAAGACGGGACCTTTCAAAGTCGGAGGGAGAAACGTTAGCTTGCTTTCCCAAACAAAGACCTAGCATACGAAGACAGACACCCTTCAGATGTTCATCCACCCCTTTTGCATTATCGACTGCTCTCTGTGCATATCCTGCTCCCTCAGCTGCAAGATGATGATCCTCACTACAGATCTTGGCAGCCAACAACAATGATGTGAGATCATTAGGTTTTTCGTTTATATGCAGAGACTTTCTCAATATATTCAAGGCAGCTTTGTTCCGGTCCGCACCACTGCAACAAAGAGCTAAGAAATTCCAGCGTTCAGTACGATGAAATACTCCAGGCTTGAGCTCTTCAAGTTGCTTTGCTAAAGCGTGAGTTTGGCTGCATAAAGAAAGCGCATACATTAAGTGATCCATAACAGATGGATCCCACTGGATAACGCCCTGGTGAATTTTTTGCATAAGAACCAACAAAAGCAGAATAGCCTCTTCGAAATTATTTTTGGGTACATAAGCACCATCAGCTTGAGCACCTAAGCTAGGAGGACCAGCCTCCAACCCACTATGCAAGAGAAAAACTGCAAATGATTTCTGAATTCTTGCACAGCAATCGTTGTCCAAGTTCCACGGATTGAGCAGTATACGTCTATAAGCAGCCATTGCTTCTTGATAGTTACCAGCCTGCTTCAAAAGCTCTGGAAGTAGCTCAACTGCTTTACTAACCGTCTCCTGCAATTGACTCTCAACTTGGGCATCAGATATTCCTTGAGGAAATATCTTCCCGACAGCATCAAGCACATTTGTACAATCCTTAGCAGCCTCTACAAAACCAATGAAAACAACATTCAACATTCTTTTCCTGATGTATAAAAAAAAGGAAGAGAGGTAACTCTCCTTCCATTCTAATTTCTAAGTAAGATTCAAACATAAAGGAAGGTGAATTGTAAAGATTTTCAGGTACCGGTAAACTTTCCAAGCTTTTGAAGCGACTTGGCCTTTAAGTAAACCCCTTCAAGAACGAGCTTGGCAGCTTGTTGGTTCTGCGAATCACGATCAGCACCAGCATTGTGATAAGAAGAAAACTATATATTTAGAAGAAGAAAGAGAAGAATTAGAATAAGAATTCTCATTACGGAAGGTTGCAGCCCTTGGATTGCAGCTTGCAGATCAATTCCATCTAATACTCGGCGTGCCGCTTCTACATTTCCTCTTTGATACTCTAATCTTCCCAAAAGAGTCCTCGCTTCCTTCAAAGCCCAAAATTTCCCAATTCTCAGATCACCCAAAAACCAAAATTGCAAAAACAAACATTTAAAAAAAAAAAACCTCAGAATTGAGAGACAAGCGTTCGCGTAAAGAAGATTCAGCTTCTTGAATATTGCCCTGATCGAGTTTGGCTTCGACATCTGCTGTACTCATGGAAATCCCATTGGCAGAAAACTGTCGTCCCTTAGGACCATCTGGTGGGGTTTCATCATCGGCCATTGTTTAAGATTTTCGATTTGGTTTGATTATTAAGTCAGTTATTTCGTAAGAAGATTGTTTGGACATTGACGCATCATTGCTGGCGTTGGGTTGAGGATCTGCAAAAGAGAGAAAAAGGAAGAAAGAAAGTCAAAGTGAACGAGGAGAAGACGAGAGATTCGGATCTGTTTGCGGTCCAAACTCCACTCTCTCTTTATTCCTCCCATTTATTTTTAGTATAAGCGCCAAAAACCATCAAACTTCACAATACAAAATTATCCTCCCATTCCTATACTTGTTTAATCCTTTTTATTATTAGGCTTAATGCTCATTTTCCCCTTAAAAATATAATTCCTTTTATGATTTTATCCTTTTAAAGTATACGACTTTTTAATCGTTTTATCTCTTAAATTACTTTTTAAATAGTTTTCTTTTAAAAATCATTTTTATTATCCCATTTTTTAACACTGTTAAAAAAATTAATCAATTAAAACGTGTTACGTGATAATTTTGATAGATTGATTTTAATAAAATAAATAAATGACATGTTAAGTTTTTCAGATTTCATTTTTGTTCAAACAGACAACTATAAACGGCTCGACATTTATTTGTGTGGTGTGAGACTTTATGAATATTCAATGATTTGATGCATGTATGCGAATATCTTTCAACTACAACTTGTGCTGATGCAACTATCTACCACCACCAACAGCAATAATTTTGTGGATAACTGACCTCTTTGTGTGATAACTTATCAGATTTGTGATTAATAATTCATACGATATTTAACTCATTTGTGTCTATTCAGAGGTAATAGCTAGCTTTGTGGTAAGACCCTAAGGTATGTTTCGATGTGTATGCCAAATAATTTCAGTTTGTACGAGTAAAAGAATTACAATTTTCTTAACATCATTACTCTTCATTTTCAAATATTCTTTCTTATATTTTTCAAATTGTCTTTTTTTTCCAAGAACAATACATACCTATTTATTCTTCTTACTTATTGTTATAGCATACATGAATTCACATCTATTTTGTTATAAAAACTCTTCAATTCAGTCAAAACGTACCAAAGATGATCCAATAAACTAACAAAAATTCTGGTGCAGTGATACTGAGGATAGAAGGAAGTGGAACAACTACAGAAAATGGCTATGCCGCACTTTTCGCCAATCGGATATCTTCAAAGAGGTTGGCTGGAGTTCAAGGGACTCGAACTTCAACTATACAAATGACTTATTCAAGTTCTGTCATTTAAACTCGGCATCTGTTAGCAAGGTAATCACATCCGCTATAGACCTCCAACCCCGGCTGGTCAAGTTGATCTTCATTATAGCAGGCACATCGCTTGCTCATCTTTCCCGTCAGTGCAATTTCTAAAGGTCTTTGAACCAACCTCGGGAAGCCATTATCGCACCAAACCTGATGAAAGTCGTACAATATAAAGCACAAGGATACTTAGAGATGCTTCGAAATGTTTCATCATTTGGGTAACAACACAACTACCAGCTCATTTTAGTAGATACCAGTAATTAAAGAAAAACATAAATTTGGTGGTGGGGGGGGGGATATTAGACCAACTCGTTAGCGAAAAAGGAAGACAGAGGGGCCAAATATAACTGCATAAAAGAGGACGATTTGAACATGTAAACATGATAGTGTGTCAGCGTGTGTGTGATCTGAGGTATTTGTGTGCAGAAGTGTGCTCTGACCATTTCTCACTCCATTTCTGGAACCTCAATAATAGCTTAAAATCATGTGATGATGCCAGTAGTGTATTCTCAAACTAAAAGTAAGAAGCATCAAGGAAATAGTTCTTTACAATATTATGAAATCAACAACATATGTTAGCAGGCTCCATTATCTTTGTTCGTCTTAGATATCTCTCATCACAGTTTTTAGCTATATTTACTATATGTGAGAGGTTCAGGAAATAATTAGTTTTAAAAAAGCGGAAAGGAGCCATTGGAGCTTTAGGGATATTAGCTTGCACGTTATTGATGCTTCTATGACATGTCTAGACAGAACTTAGCTGGTTAACTTATTCAGTTTTTCACTTTACATATATTATAGAAGAAACAAAAAGGATTTTAAGGAGATTAACCAGTTTTGTTGGCAGGTAAGAGCAGGGTGCAACTTTCAGTAGGCTACTGAACTTTGCTAAAGTTAAATTGGAAGGTTTTCCAGCTCAATTTCAAAGCTGTGAAGGCACATACCTCTCCTCCATCATCTTGACTCCATCTTGAATTGCAACTAGGTTGTTTAGCTTCCATTTCTTTTTGTTTCTCCATGAGCTGTGCTCCTCTAGCAGCCTTCGCTTCTGCTCCCTTTAGATACTTTGTTGGATTTCCTTGGCTATCATAGTAGCGACCCACAAGCCTCCCAACAAATCTGCAATCAAGAATCAAGCACGTTACAATTCATTTTGACAATTTCTGAAAAGCTGATTAGACTTTCATATACTAAGACAAAAATTGGACTGAAAGCACCAACACAGAGAAAGAATGAGGCAAATGAGAAGAAAAAATGAATCTACACCAAATACATCAAAGGAACTAGAATCATATCCAATCCAAAATAGAAATAAGAAGCTGATTTTCCCTACGTGCTATGGTTGGCATTTTTGGCAGAGCACCCATGTCATCATGACTACTCTAACAAGGGTATAGGATTTGTGACTGATTCATCAAACACAAACGTTCCATTCTTCCTCCTTTCGATGTTCCCTTTTTCCCGTGATTTTCCGGTACTGACCTTTATTTTTGGCTTCTTCCCCTCCTTTTTTCTTTTTGGTTCTACAATGTTCCTCCATCTGTTATCTCAGCACTTCTGTTCTTCTCTTTTCAGTATCCTTTTTCAGAATTTTTAAATTTCACTGCTGTAATTGTTTATCCTAGTTCTTTAATAATATCTGGAAGCAATCGGTGTCTGTATGAATTACTTGAATTATAGACAAGGATTATAATTAATTGAGAAGGAAATTGATGGGTAAGGGGAGAAAGAAGGTGAAGAAAGCTTTCGGTTGGGGCATTAATTTGGTTTAATCGTCTTCAAAGTTCCCCAACTCTGTCCAACAAATCTGATCCAACTCCCATATCATTGTCAAAGTCTAGCTGTGTCAACATGGGGATGGCACTAAAATATTAAGTCTTAAGTAACATTGTCAAGTTTCTTAAAGTGTTTTACATATTGATATTGCTTCCTGCACTAAAACACATAAGAGAAATAAATTCACTCAAACCTAAAGCCCTAAATTGGATGCTTAAAAAATGTAGAGAACACTAGTTCTTTAGTGGTTTTAGAACTCAAGAATCCGTGGGGCATGTTAGACATGCGTTTTCTTCTTGATAGATTTTAATTCAAATTTATCAATGTCCTAGAGTTTACAAAGAAATCAGGACAAAAAAAGTGTTCATTGAAGAACTAATGCAATAAGGGATTCACTTGTAGCTTCTGAAGTAGAAGTCTCGCCATCCAACCACACTATGGACCTACAAACATAAATAACTGAATGAGACAGATTAACTTTAAGACTAATATATGGAATTAGACAAGGAACGAGTAAAAAACACCAAAGAGGCCTGCCCTGTACTTATATCTTTCAAAAGTACAAAATTAGTGTTACAGAAATGAAAACAAAGTAATTTACTAGCATGATATTCAGTGAAGAAACATGAATTATACATATAAATAAATGAGTGACAAATACGCCAGCTAAAACTATTTGTAAGAAAAAAACAAATCTAAATGTCGGGGGGGGGGGGGGGAAGATGCCAAAAAATAACCTAAGCACCTCTTTATAGTGTAGTTTTTCTTTTGCTTCTGACTAATGGTTAACCTCCAATAACTTGCAGAGAGATAGGTAGGCTAAAGGAAAGGGCACAAATATAACAGCAGATCTAAAAGGGAAGAGAAATACATCATTACCTCAGTGTTTGATAAACCTCGCAAAGAATCTGTAAGTCCATCCCCTGTTTGAAAAATGAAGAAACAATAAATAAAATATATTTATAAAGCTAAAAAATGAAATTTTATATAGCAGCTATTAGATGTGTAATATTTTATAAAAGGGAATTACTTTATACACTATTTTTTTATTTTGTCAATATAGGTACCAAAGGGACATGCTATGTATGTGCATACCTTCATTACTTTTCAAACCTCACTGAGTCACTGTTTTGTTTGTATTTAACATCATAACCTGAGGTTAAACCTAGAAGTGAAGTTCATTCTATGTGGAATGAATGAACATGAAGTACATTCTATTTGGTATGCATGAAACATTTAAATTTCTCAAGCATACAGAACTTAACAAGAATTAAGAAGAAAATAGGCATATATCTAACACGTGCTTAAATGTTCCCAATTTTCATATCTATTATAACATAACTCATTAATCCGTCTGATTCCGGACTTTCTAAGAATTCAGTCCTAACTTTTACAGACATCTTTTTTATTTGCATTAAAGGCTGTTATACAAATATAACCCTCTCGTGTTTCTCATGACCCTGATAGAAGATGGTCATTGACACAAGCATTATGAAAGCAACATTAATAACATGATTATCTTCTAGATATGGTTCTAGATTTTATCATTTGAGACTTTCTCCTCAGTTGAATACTGCCATGTATATGTGAAAGTTAACCAACCATCAAACCATCCAGGACTGACTAGCAAGAATATGTAAATATCAATTCCTTCAAATTTGTTTCTGTTTTATTTCATGGTGAAGCTAGGAATAAAAGTACATTGATTCAGTCATTTGATTAATGAAGAACCATAATTAGCCATTTCCCGATTTTCTATAGCTTGAGAAAAGACTTAAAATCTTGCTTTCACGCATATACAATCAGAATTAGTTCACAAGATATAGTCAGCGCACTGCATCATTTTTCCTTGTTTACTCCACACTTTGATTTTCTGAACAGCATTTAAGTCATTTTCACTACAACTGAAAACCCTCAAAACCATTCTGACAATTAAGCCGAAGGATCACAACGCTTACCTGTAAAATTTCCAGAAACAAATGCACGGGAGGCATCTCTGGATCATCAAGAATATACAGAAAAATTGAAATCAGTTTGCAAGTTTGAAAATATAGTGAAAGCATGCAAACGGCATATGAAGATAGCCAACAATGAACACACTACTTGAATTTGAACAAGTAATATACACTAATCAGCAGATAATATGTGTAAACATACATCTGAAAGGAAACAAATACAGATAATTAATATAAACTACTTGAATATCCCAAAATCCAATTAAAGAAAACAAACCAACCTTCCAGCAAAATGATGGTAACCTCCTCCAACACCATAGTGAGACTTTCCTTTTGTAACATCAAATACGGATCTAATCACATAGTATTCAATCCGGATTAGCATTTTAGAACATTTTATATATAATAATAATATGACGAATAAGACAAAAGAAAGTACCCCAGAATTCCTAAGAGTATGGGTAGAGAATTATCAGTTCCATTATACAGAGCCAGCTCTTCAGCAGAGAACAATTTCTGCAAAAAAAGGAGAAAATGGTTCAAGTTTCAAAAGCTTAGAGAGAAAGAAACAATGAAAAAGGGAAGGGAAGGGAAGGGAAGACCTGTGAAGATTTAAACTTGAGGATAAAAGCGATGAGAGCGACCAGAAGTGACAACCCCAAGATAGAAGAGGTTATAAATTTCTTTGATGACGATGCCATTGTTTCCGGTGCCGAGCTTTCAATTGAAATTTTGTTTTCAATTTTCTTCGATTTGGTCAAAGAACGAGTATTTTGATAAAATATTTTTTTGAAAAAGAAAATGAAGATGAAAGGCATAATGTCATATTTAGTACCTGTACTTTGATTAAATATTGAATATAATATTTATATTTTTTGAAATATTATATATAATATTTATATTTTTTTAATATTTAATATGATATTTCTGTTTTGATAAAATTTTAAGATAAATAATATGAATGATCAATCGATTAAATACTTAATTATTGTTAATTAAATCATCTGTTAGCAACATTTGATGTAATAGTTGACCTAACAGTTAACAAATCCACCAATTTGATACAATCATATGTTTTATTCTTATCACCATGGTTTTCAGAACTGGACTGGTTAGCGAACCGGTCATGTTATCGGTTCACTGGTTTAATCGGTCGAACTAGTCCGACCGGTCGGAAGAATCGGACGACGTCATAATTATTTAAAAAATTAAATAAAAATACCAAAAATATTTAATAAAAAATAATTTTTTATATCACAAGTCATATTCAAAGCAAGTCATAACATATATAAGTTAAAAACCATAAAATCAAGTGAAACAAAATGATTCAAATTAACTACAACATAATATTTAAGGTAAAACATATTAAATAATAAATATAATTATATAACTATAATTAAAAAATAAATTTGGGGTTAAAAAAATCATAACAAAATGATATTGTTTGGTTTAATTTAAAAAAAACAATTTCACATTGCTAAGAAACATAGAAGAGCATCCCAAAAGTCTAAAGAGTAAAAATATGAGAACAAAATAATCCCACATTGCTAAGAAACATAAAAGAGCATCACAACTAACTTCTATAAATAATAGAGGTAATTTGACATTTAAAATTATGGAACCTTTTGGTGAGCATTGAGTGAACTATTCTTTCACTTCAATCAAACTCGAATTTTAGGCTTCAATCGAGCTTCTAAATTTTTTTTTGGTTCAAACATTTTTGAGTTCAAGTTTCAATATTATATTTCGAGTTTGAGTTGAACTTGATAATTTTTAGCTTGTGAGTTTGAGTCGAGTTGAGCTTACTTTTAAAGTTTTCAAGTTCAAGTCGAGCTCAGCAATACTCGAGTTCGACTTGGCTCGTTTAACAAACGACGTTGTTTGGTTTAATTTTTTTTTTAAAAAAAAACAAAATTTTCAGTTTTTTCCGGTTTTCAGCCGGTCCGATTTGAACGGTTTAGCGATTCTGGTCGGTTCACTAATAACGGTTCAACCGATTTAGATTGAATCGGACTAGCACACGATTCCCGGTTGAACCGGTTGAACCGGCCGGTCCGATCCGATTTTCAAAACAATGCTTATCACTTATACTTTTCATTGATTTAATTCTAATTTTAATTTAATTTAAAAAAATTAGTACTCCAATAAAGTGACTATTTTAAGTCAGTTATTATTTTATAATTTTTGCAGTTGAAGAATTCAACAAATAAACGTTATACAGTCGAATAACTATTTTATATTTTACCTACTATACTAATACAATACAATGTATACCATTAGAAATGAGTATTTGACCGAGATGAATGAATAAGTTGGAGTTGGTCAAGTTTACAAGTACTATTTTATCATCAAACTTTGTTTGAATTTTTTAGTTTAATTTATGAAATTTGAGTTGCCTCCAATTGATATAATTATTTGGATTTTTGTTCAAAGTAAAATATAATTATTTATAATATTATGGTACTGGTTGATTTCAATTTAAATTGCCCTCTCTAATCCAAATCTTTTCACATGTGTAAGTAAAATTTATAATGTTATAAATTGTTGTTCCTAAAGGTCATGAGAGCATTCATTGTCAGACAGTTGAGAATACTTAGAATATATATTAGTATTACTTTGTAATCTCATTTAGTTTAATAAAAAAATTATATTTTTTATAAAAATAAATTGAATAAATATAAAATTAAAAGAATAATACATTTATGTAAAGAAGATTGTGAATTACACAACTATTTTTTAATGGTCGATAATACATGGTTTAAATTTAATAAAAATAACTAAAAAATAAAAATAAAGTAATAGAATAATTAAATTATTTAACTAAACAAAAACATCATTCTAATTTTTTTAATTAATTTAAATTTAACTTAGACTTTAAATTCAAACTTAAATTAACTCAAATAAATGAATTAAAATGAATTAAAATAAAAAATCATTTTTTATCATGCTCTCAATTCCAGTCCTTACTTTTTTCATCAATGTCAAAGCAAAGTGCCACCTAACTCCCTCCCTTCAATCTTAATCGTTCGTTTTCCTCCAATCCACAATATTCCTTTTAATCCACCGGCATCACAAGGTCCCAATAGTGTCATAGCATGACACGCCACCACCAAACCGTGAGTATAGCGATGCATAATATCGATTACTGACCTTCCAGCCGAGAACGAGCATATTGCGTCAATATTGATCTTAATCGTTGAAGGCTTACACTAGCTCTATGAAGGAGTCCCGATGGCAATCGAGAGGATCTCAATAATCCAGCTGTTGGTCTACTGCGTCAAAAGAGGCAAGCAAGCCCGACTAGAAGCAACCACATGCCACCTAGGCATCATACTATTGTCATGGACAAATTGATTGAGTCGATTCCACACATGAGAGAGCACCACCAGAAAAAAAAAAGCGATACTCGTTCATTGTTAACAAGGAAAGAAGAGAATGCAACAGTGTTGAAAGTATTAAAATGGTTTTCAAGTTTGGTAACCAACTTTGAAAAAATGATTTTCAAAGTTTGGTAAATGTTTTTTTGAAAATGGTTTTCAAAGTTTGGTAAATGTTTCTTTGAAAAATAGTTTTTCAAATTTTGGTAGATGTTTGTTGAAAAATGATAATGGGATAATCACAATTAATACCTAGGCTTTAGGGTATTTACAAGATTAAGTCCTTAAGTTTCAACTATAAATACCTTAGCTCATTTAGCTTCAAAACCATTCCAAAAATCATTTCTTTCTCCCAATACTAGAGAGCTTTCTTGTGAGTAGTGAGTGTTTTGTAAACACCTGTAAATTTTCTCTCTTAGTAAAAGATCTGCAGCAGTCCGGAGACGTAAGCACAATTGGCTGAACTTCGTTATCAATTTCGGGTATTATTTTTCCGCTTTTATTTCGTATTCTCACTAATCTGGTAATAGGGAAATTACTTGTACTTGGTTTATTTCCTAACAACTGGTAATCAGAGCTTTTGGTTGTGAATTTTGTGAATAGTAAAATTTTATCGGCGATACAAATTTGTCGATGGAGGTGTTCTAATACACGATGGTTCGCAAGAATTGTCAGAAACGGTCCAAACGAAGCCAGATTCGAGTGGGAGCGATGGCTGCAGACGAAGGGAATGTGAAAATTGAAAAGTTCGATGGTGCGGACTTTGGATTTTGGAAGATGCAAATTGAAGATTTTCTATACCAGAAAAATCTATATCAACCCCTCTCAGGAAAACAACCAGAGGGCATGAAGAATGAAGACTGAGCTCTTCTCGACAGACAAGCCCTCGGAGTTATCCGACTGACGTTATTCCGCAATGCTGCTTTCAATATAGCAAAGGAAAAGACCACGTCGGGTCTTATGACAGCTCTCTCCAGTATGTATGAGAAGCCATCGGCCTCAAACAAAGTTCATTTGATAAGGCGATTATTTAATTTGCGGATGACGGAAGGGGCATCGGTGGCACAACACCTAAATGAACTCAACACAATCACAACCCAGTTGAGTTCAGTGGAAATTGAATTCGATGATGAAGTTCGAGCTTTAATTCTCTTATCATCTCTACCAGACAGTTGGAATGCTACTGTTACAGCAGTTAGCAGCTCGTCGGGAAATAGTAAATTAAAATTCGACGATGTTCGGGATCTGGTACTGAGCGAAGAAATTCGACGGAGAGAATCGGGTGAAGCATCAACCTCCTCAGCCTTGCACACGGAGTCTAGAGGGAGAACTTCAGAAAGAAATTTAAATCGTGGCAGATCGAAATCCAGACGGGGAAAATCCACAACGGGAAAGAAAGATTTTACCTGTTATAATTGTGGCAAGAAGGGTCACTTTAAAAGAGATTGACAAGCACTGAAGAAAAATACCGGCGCATAGGAATCTGCCAACGTGACAGAGGAGACAGGTGATGCCATGATTCTAAGCGTCAACAGTCCGATTGAATCATGGATCTTAGATTCAGGGGCATCTTTCCACTCCACCCCATGCCGAGAAATCATGGAAAATTATGTCAGTGGTGATTTTGGGAAGGTTTATCTAGCTGATGATGAAACCTTAAAGATCGTCGGAAAAGGAGACATCCGACTAAAGTTGCCAAACCAAACCACCTGGACGCTGAAAGGAGTGAGACATATTCCTGGCCTCAAAAGAAATTTGATTTCTGTAGGACAGCTTGATGATGAAGGATTTAGCACAACCTTTTCAGGCTGTGAATGGAAGATTACCAAAGGAGCACTCGTCATTGCTCGTGGTAAGAAAACTGGTACTCTCTATATAACATCAAATTTAGAGAATATCATTGCAGTAGCAGATGCTGATGGAAAATCAAACATATGGCACCAAAGGATTGGCCATATGGGCTAGAAAGGGATGAAGACACTTTTGTCAAAGGGGAAGCTGCCGGATCTAAAGAATGTAGATGTCGGACTATGCGAGGATTGCATTTTTGGCAATTGCAAAGATTGGTAAGACACCCAAGGCTGAAAAGTTAGAGTTGGTTCATACTGATGTATGGGGACCATCTCCAGTTCCATCTCTTGCAGGCTCACTATATTATGTCACCTTCATCGATGATTCTACAAGGAAGGTGTGGGTTTATTTTCTGAAGAAGAAATCAGAAGTCTTTGATACCTCCAGAAAATGGAAGGTCATGGTGGAAAATGAGACTGGTCTGAAAGTCAAGCGGTTAAGGTCTGACAATGGAAAAGAGTACAGAAATAGGAGATTCAGAGACTTCTGCGCAAATAATGGGATCAAGATGGAGACAACAGTTCCCATGACACCGCAACAGAATGGCGTAGCAGAGCGCATGAACAGAACTCTGAATGAACGTGCCAGAAGCATGAGGATACATGCCGGATTGCCCAAATTTCTATGGGCTGAAGCTATCAACACTGCAGCTTACCTGATCAACCGTGGGCCCTCAGTTCCTTTGGATGACAGAATACTAGAGGAAGTTTGGAGCAAGAAAGAAATAAACCTTTCACACTTAAGAGTGTTTGGTTGTATTTCTTATGTACACATAGACTCTGCTGAAAGAAGTAAACTTGATGCTAAGTCCAACAAATGTGCCTTTGTAGGTTACGGCGGTGATGAGTTCGGTTACCGGTTTTGGGACTATGAAAATCGGAAGATCATTAGAAGCAGAGATGTCATTTTCAATGAGAATGTGATGTACAAAGACATGTCAACTGTAGAATCAAGCAGCTCCAATACCAAAGCTAAAACAAAGGAATTTGCTGAGTTTGAGGAGATTTCTGGAAATGATGTTCAGATCAGTCCTGAAGCAGTTCAAGAAGAACCAGGCACACCGGAACTAAGACTCTCCTCCAGAATTCCTAAATCAACCCAACGATATTCTCCTTCTTTGCACTACTTGTTACTGACTGACAATGGTGAACCAGAGTGCTATGATGAAGCAATGCAAGTGGAGGATTCAGTCAAGTGGGAGTCTTCCATGAAAGATGAGATGGACTCGCTTTTGTCAAATCAGACGTGGGAATTAGCTGAATTACCACCAGGCAAGAAAACGCTTCACAACAAGTGGATTTACAGGATCAAAGAAGAGCACGATGGGAGCAAACGCTACAAAGCGAGATTGGTTGTCAAAGGTTTTCAGCAAAAATAAGGTATTGACTACAATGAAATTTTCTCTCCAGTCATGAAACTGTCTACAATCAGACCGGTGTTAAAAATTGTAGCTGCAGAGAATTTACATCTTGAGCAGTTAGATGTAAAGACAGCTTTCCTTCATGGTGATTTGGAGGAAGAAATCTATATGAGGCAGCCAGAAGGCTTTATAGAGGCAGACAAGAAAAACCTGGTATGCAGGTTGAAGAAGAGCTTGTATGGTTTAAAACAAGCTCCTAGACAGTGGTACAAGAAGTTCGATAGTTTCATGAGAAGCAATGGTTTTACCAGATGCCAAGCAGATCATTGTTGCTACATCAAGAGGTTCGAAAATAGCTTCATTATTTTATTGTTGTACGTTGATGACATGCTCGTTGCAGGCTCAGACATGCAAGAGATTATAAACTTGAAGCAAAAATTGTCAAAGCAGTTTGCTATTAAGGATCTGGGCGCTGCAAAGCAGATTCTTGGGATGAGGATCAAGAGAGACACAAAGTCAGGGACTTTGATATTATCACATGCTGAGTACATCAACAAAGTACTCTCCAGGTTCAACATACAAGATGCTAAACCAGTAAGTACACCTTTAGGTGTTCATTTCAGACTCTCCAAAGAACAGTCACTAAAGACGGAGGAAGAACGTGCACACATGGTGAAGGTACCGTACGCCTAAGCAATTGGAAGTCTGATGTATGCCATGATTTGTACCAGACCAGATATTGCTCAAGCAGTGGGAGCTATTAGCAGGTACATGAATAATCCGGGCAAAGTACACTGGGAAGCAGTCAAATGGATCCTCAGATATCTGCGGGGTACCACAAACAAAGCACTTTGTTTCAAAGGTGGAGATACGATACTGACAGGCTATGTAGATGCTGACTTAGCCGGAAATGTTGACATCAGAAGGATCACTACATGGTATGTCTATACTCTAGGAGGAACCGCAATGAGTTGGGTTTCTCAACTACAGAAGATAGTTGCTCTCTCCACAACTGAATCAGAATATGTCGCTGTTACGGAAGCTAGCAAGGAGATGGTTTGGCTCCAAAGTTTCTTGGAAGAGTTAGACAAGAAACAAGATAACAATGTCTTGTATTGCGACAGTCAAAGTGCTATACATCTAGCAAAGAATCTGTCTTTTCATTCCAGGACAAAACATAAACAATTGCGATATCATTTTATCCGTTCTCTTCTGGAAGATGGGATTTTGAAACTTGAAAAGATCAGTGGAGCTCAAAATCCGGCAGACATGTTGACAAAGACGGTGACTATAGACAAACTGAAGTTGTGTTCAACTTCAGTTGGCATGCTAGAGTAACAAGACTAGAAAAGCTGTTGCATTGATCGAGGTGTGAAGACAGATTAAAATCAGTCTTCAAGTGGGAGATTGTTGAAAGTATTAAAATGGTTTTCAATTTTGGTAACCAACTTTGAAAAAAGTGGTTTTCAAAGTTTGGTAAATGTTTCTTTGAAAATGGTTTTCAAAGTTTGGTAAATGTTTCTTTGAAAAATAGTTTTTCAAATTTTGGTAGATGTTTGTTGAAAAATGATAATGGGATAATCACAATTAATACCTAGGCTTTAGGGTATTTACAAGATTAAGTCCTTAAGTTTCAACTATAAATACCCTAGCTCATTTAGCTTCAAAACCATTCCAAAAATCATTTCTTTCTTCCAATACTAGAGAGCTTTCTTGTGAGTAGTGAGTGTTTTGTAAACACCTGTAAATTTTCTCTCTTAGTAAAAGATCTGCAGCAGTCCGGAGACGTAAGCACAATTGGCTGAACTCCGTTATCAATTTCGGGTATTATTTTTCCGCTTTTATTTCGTATTCTCACTAATCTGGTAATAGGGAAATTACTTGTACTTGGTTTATTTCCTATCAAACAGTCACTGCATAAACTCTACGAGGCAAATATGGTCATGGAAAGAAGCGTGGCACTGTAGTCACGTAGTGCAGGCAAACATATTTCAAGGACTACGCCACATAGAGAGAAAAAACCAGTCGATAAGCTGGCATTCAATAGGAAATGCCTCGTGCGCCAAACGTCAATCGAACATTTGAATTTTTGGGGGATGGATGAACGGGACAAAAAAAAGTCATAGTGGAGACATAACCGGAGGTCGTTGCTGACGTAAAAGATAAAAATATTTGGATTGCACAGAATACATCCCAATTGAATAACCACTCCACAGTAAAATATCATCGGCAACAGAGCAACGAGACAATTGAGTATCGCTACAGCATTGATAGGACTAAAGATTACATTCAGCCTCTCGGCATCCCACATAGACATATCTAAGAGCATGAACTCGCCACACCAGACAGGAGAAAATTCACTGTCAACATAGGTAGACACGAAGCAGATGGTTGATGAGCCACCCCAGTTGTTTAAATGTAATCGAAGATTGCTGTTTTGGTCGAACTGCCAATGATACCCCTCCTGGAATGTCATTATGTCTGTATAGATTCCTTTCCAAGTAAAGGAGAGATGTTCGCCCAACCGGGCGTCAAAGATATTACCTCGAATAAAGTATTTTACAACAAACACTAGGGTCAAAAGGCTATTAGGAGAATGCATACATCATCAAACATGTTTACCGAGCGAAGCGAGAATGAACTGTCAGATATTTCGAAAGTCAAGACCACCGAAACGCTTTGCTTGACAAACGATCTTTCATACTACCGTCAACCAATCTCTATCTGTCGGACTACCTACCCACCTATAGGACTTAAGGATGGCTTTCGTTTCAACAATAATCCCATTTGAAAGGTGATAACAGTCCATGAGATACATCGGTTTGACTTGTCCAACTGATTGAATATACACCGATATGCCTCATATGTGAGCAAAATGAACAAATAAATTAAAGGGTAAACTATGCGAATAGTCTCTTATGTTTCGATCTAACCGACTTTGATCACCAGTTTAAAAATTAAATACGTTTGGTCTCTTACATTATCGGTTCGTTCGATTTTAGTCTCTTAACTGTTAACTTTTGTTAACCCATTAACGGAAGTCTTACGTAGCACTTAACAAATTATAAAAAAATCACGTGTCGTCGTCGTCATCTTCTTCTTCTCCTCTTCTTGGATGTAAATGTATAAGATGTCATCATCATCCAACTTTGGAGTTTCTTATTTTAATAGAATTCCCTAGGATATAAAAACCCTAATCATCCAAATCGCCTGTGAATTTTCAATCTTAATTGACCATTTGAACTTTCCTTCCACCATAGCCATGAATGATACTCTGCTTTAAGTTTATGCTGCTTATGTTTAGCACCTGTTACAAAAGCAACGTATGTGAAATACAAATATCAAAGCAGCCATTGGATGGTCGGATCAAAGATTTAATGAGTAGGATCACTTCGGCCGAAAAGATTGACCAACTAACTTAGATCAAGCGCACTGTTACTACCCCAAATGTAATGAACAAGAACTCTATTGGTATAAACTGAATCCATCTTTTAACAACCTTTAATAAGTTTACCCCAAAAGCTTGGATCAAGATGGTGTACTCTATATAACTAAAATCGAACGAATTGGTAACATAAGAGTTAAAACATATTTAGTTTTTAAACTGATGACTAAAGTCGGTTAAATAAAACATAAAAGGGATTATTAATAAATTAACTGATCCTATTCTCATATGTAATGAGATAAAGAAAGGTAGAGTAGTAGGCTGCCTTCAACGCCAGATTGAGAACAACCTCCATAGAAGACCTCCAGTTATGAATTATCCACTATTAAACTCAATCCTACAATCACAATATTAAAAGTCTTATCCTCTATTAATTGAATTGGACGGTCAATTCATAAAAGGGACATTAATAGAATTTACCTTAAATTAAAATAAAAAATCATTTCTGTATCGTACTCTACGTTCCGGTCCTTTTCATCACTGCCAAAGCAAATTGCATCCAACTCCCTCTCTTTAATCTTAACCGTTGGATTCTCCAATCCACAATATTCTCTCTGATATGCTGATTATAAAACGAAATATCAGTTTTTTTTATTTGTTACATAGCAAAGAAAACCCTAATCGAATCATCAGGAAAAGAGAGGTGCCGCTTCTTTTGCTCTTTATCTTTTCCTCACATTTTCAAGGATTCTTACTACTGCTATTACGCACTAAATAAGGAAACTTCTCTTTTCTCTCTAACCGCAGAAAAAAAAGGCAATCTTTAGGGTTTCCTTTCCTCCTTCCTAACTTTTAACTTTTGTTGTGTGATTTTCTTCGCAGCCGAACAGCGATCAAAGCAAATGGAGGATCCTACGGTCATCAATGGCGAAGTGGAGGACCAGACGGTGGATAATTTCTACGACGCCGATGAAACCAAACTAACCCTTCTGAATACCAAAATCAAAAGGCTTGAAAGTCAGAAGTTGGACCTGAGCAACGAGAACAATGATTTGAAGGAGAGGATCGAGAAAATAACCTTGGAATTTGATCGACTACGGAATCAGGAAGCAGAGATGCGGAAAGAAATGGATCAGTGGGAAGAAGATAAGAGGGTTCTGGAATCAGTCACCGCGAGATCGGCTTCTCTTGAAACCGAGGTTGCCAGGCTTCAACATGATCTGATAACTTCGTTGAGTGAAGTCGATGAAGCGAACAAGGAGTTGATTCGGTTAAAGGGAGATTTGGAAGAGAAAGGGGCGTTGATCGAGAGATTGGACAGGGAAATCACCGAATTGAAAAGAGAGAAAGTTGAGGGCGAGCAGAGAGAGAGGGAGTTGGAGAGGAAATTAGGAGTTTTAGAAGTGGGGGAAACAGAGGAGAGGAGCAAGAGAGTTAGAACCGAAGAGGAAATGAGGGACAAGGTGAATGAATTGATGAATAAAGTTATGGAGCTCGAAGCAGAATTGGGGAGAACAAGGGTTGAACTGGAGACGACTAAGGAAGAAAAACGAGAATCCGAGGAGAAGGCCACGCGGCTGCAGATGAAGTTGTTGGAGTTGAAAGAGAAGGTGGAGAAGAAAACTTCTGAGGGCATCAATGGCAAGTCTAGGGAGATTGCGTGGACTGCTGGGAGTAATGGTAAAGGTCCCAGCGTGACGCCGATTGTGGCAGCTGGAACGGCCGGTGCCATAGTCGTTGCGACTGCTGCGGTGTATCTTTGCTGTAGGAAGAGGTCGTGAATCAATGATTACTGGTGCATGATGATGAACAAGGTTAGGATATTTATTATTATATTAATAATGAATTTGGGTCTCGAATATTTGATAGGCAGTTGGGTTTTCAGTTTTTTGCCCATGAATCTCACTTCTACATATATTATGTTGTTTGGTAGTTGAGTGTAAAACAAGTGTTGCACTTGTGTTTAGTTTTTCTTGAAGGAATTCCTGCAGTTTGGCTTAATGTATTCAAGCAAGCTACTATTACAATTTTTCGTTTATGGTTGTTTGTGACTTTGTAATGCAAAACAAATTGCATCATTGATATGTTTTCTTTTTATCATGGTTTAGGAATTTCCATGCGTTGTGTTTGGTTTGTTCAGTTGTATGATTTTGGTCAAATTGTATACCTCACCTACTGTCCTTTACATGTGTACTTTTAGTTCAAGGTTAATATATTTAAAAATAATATTAAACATGTAGTGGTTTTGTGGCATATACATTTTTTAAAATATTTTTATAATTGGACAAATACGTATATGTCATCTCATTACTTGCTTAAAAAGTAAAAAATACACATTTTTAAACATTGTTTCGAAAAATAGGGAGATTGTACATTTTAGACTTTTTTTTTTGATAAAACATTTTAGACAATTCATATGGGGGATGTCTGCATGTGTTAAACACGAAATTGAAGAGTTGGTCTGTTATGAAGGATGGATAATTCATATGGGGGATGCCTTCATGTGTTTTTTGATTTGGTGAATCGCAAGGTGCTCCATGTTTTTGCTGTGTCTACGCTAGCTACACCAATCATGTTTTGCTTTGCTTATAGATAATATTTTATAGTTGAATAAGGAGCATTTAGGTTTTGACATATGTGGCCGAAATTCTATTTAGTCTAGGTGGAAATAAAAATTAAAATGAATTATTAAAAAAGTTGTATGAGCTATCTACTTAGACCTAAGGTGTAAATAAATAAGGTTATCTTAGTTTTTGTTTGTTCAAGTTTGAAGGTGTTAATGTTCGGTTCGTGTTTATTTAAATTTTTAATATTGTGTTCGTTTATTGTTCGTTTGTAGTTTGTTTGTTTGTTCATTTTGTAATTTGAGTGCTTAAATTTCTTAAAATTCACAATTTAAATTTAAATTTTTACCATTCATTCAATTTAGTCTATATCTTCATTGATATTTATAATTTAAAAATAAAATAAAAGGAAAAGGTGAATCAGGTAAAAAAAAAGCTTGTTCATTGTTTAGTTTTTGTTTATATTATTCTCGTTCATCCGTTTTAATTGAATATGAAAATTTTATCCATATACGTTTATTTAATTTAACAAACGAACATAAATGAATGTTATATGAATAGTTTATTGAACATTTTGTTCATTTACATCCCTAACTTAGATCAAAATGGTGATGGATAAGAACCATAAGGTAATAAACAGATGGTACGAATTGAAAAATGTAAATTATAAGATTGATTATTTCCGTTTAAATTTTGTTGAATATTTTTTGTTGAATTTATAAAATATAAGATTCGATTATTTTTGTATTTATTTAATTAAGATGTTATCTTGATTTAGGGGTAATTATTATTAGACTTTCAATTATTATTGATGTGATATGATATAGTGAATATGTAAAATTAAAAAGGATAAATTATACCAATGATAATTAATATTATAGTGAATTTTAATTTTTTTTATTGAAATTTCGAAAATAATTGATTAGCTATTTTGTAAGGATGAAGCTCGCATTTGATAAGCATCGATTTTAGATCCAAATTTTCCTGACATTATCTCAAGGTATTTGATAAGTTCTGTGTTGGAAGAAAGCAAAAGGCTGGAAGACCTTATCTCTCCTCTATCTACAAATCTTTCCTTGCCGAGTTGCCATTAATTGAGGACTGTGGGGTAACAAACTTTCTATTCAAAAGCAAAGTATTACCAGCTTCAGCAGATTTAAGTTTTGCGTAGCAAATATCGCAAATACGGTCAGATTTTCTTGGAGTCGGAACTAATGATGCTTTCAAAGTTTTCTTGGAACTGCAAGAATGACAATGCGTGAATGTCTCGTTAATATACGGTTAATATATGATGTTACTAAATATATTAAAAAATATTTAATAAATTCGATTTAATATTACCAAAAATATTGACTAATAATAATGTAGTAGGATTAAATTATGAAGAAATATTAAAAAATTGTGCAACCGGCAAACTTAACTTGTCGGTTCGTATCGATCTAAATTAAAAATGTATCGATCCACAACGATATAACAGGTAAAACTATGACAAAACCGGTATTGAAATGATAAAACCGGTAAAGCGGTACCAGATATATTTAAAGTGTCGGTACTTTAATATAAGGATCGATACTTCGTTAATTTAAAAGAGAAGCATTTTTTAGCGTTTATAAAGTGTTGATACATTAAAAAAATGTATCGATCCACAACGATATAACAGGTAAAAATATAATAAAACCGGTATCAAAATGATGAAACCGGTAAAACGCTACCTGATATATTGAAAGTGTCGATACTTTATATAAGGATCGACACTTTGTGAATTTAAAAGAGAAGCAGTTATAGCGCCTATAAAGTGTCGATACTTTAAAAAATGTATCGATCCACAGCGATATAATAGGTAAAAATATGATAAAACCGGTATCAAAATGATAAAACCGGTAAAACGCTACCGGATATATTGAAAGTGTCGATACTTTCGTAAGTACGTGTAATAAATTATCGATACTTTCAAAGAAATACGTAATTATCCTTTCGAAAGTATCGACACCTGACATAAAAGTATCGACACTTTTGTATTTGTATCGATTAAATATAAATAACATATCCGATGAAAATATAAAGGCCATAGCTAAATATCCTCTGAAAATAGATAGAACAGACGAGTTTTTGAAATCGAAGCGTAATTGTTGCTGCATTTCAGAAGGCGTTTCTAAAACGAAGTTTGTTTGTTTGTTGTTGCAGTCGAATCGAAAAGTATGTTGTCAAAACCCTAGTTTTTTTATTATTATAGTAATCGCGAATAGGGTTTTTATGTGTTGTTTGGGGTTTTGGAGTAAAGAAGCATTTGAGACCGATTGCAGGTAGAAAGTGATATTCAAGGTAAAATATAAATGTCGATACTTTTATTAAATATTATAGGTAGAAAATGATATTATAGGTTGTATAAATGTGCCGACACATTTTGTAGTGGCCATTCAAATTCTTTTGAAGAAAACTATTTTACCACAAGAGTAGTTATCTATATTTGTATATTGAATAAAGTGTATGTAACAAAATAATTTGATTTGCATAAACTGATATATGAAGGAAAAATGGAGTCAATGGGTTGGAAAATTGTTGGTGGCGCAGATGACTTTGAAATTGAGGTCGAGACTCGAAAGCAACCAAAGGGTGAATATATGTACTTCTAGTAAGTGTCAATGTCTTTTTGTTATTATTGTTGAAATGGTAATTGGATTAAAGTATCAATAAACTTTAAATTGATTACAAATTTTAAATGTTGACAGTATGACCGAATCCAAAAGGATGAAGGAATATGGCACACAGAGCGGTTCGGTATGTAAAATGAAATTGACATTGAGAATTATTTAGTGTTAATGTATTGATTAATAAACGTTTATGTTTAATATTAGGTGACAAAAGATGTGAGGTCCAAATGGAATTCGATGAGTTATGCTGAAAAGGAACCTTACATCACACAGTCAAGGAATGATAGTAAAGAATACAAAGAACAGAGGAAAGCACATGAAAATAAGATATTCATTAAACTTGTAAATACGTTGATACAAAATATATAAGAACTATAACATTATATATTGTTAAAAAATGTAGGAAGTGTCGACAAGATGCAGCATTAAAATGGTGAATTCATTAATTAAACACCTTAAGGAGAAGGGTCAGTTGAATGTGCTGGGAGAAATAGGTTTTGGATCGTTGGTAGGAGTAAGGGATCGACCTATTCGGAGGGAATTGTGTCGATCCTTGATGGCGCAATTTGATGTCAGACAATGTATTGCTAAGTATGGTGATTTTTCATTTCCTCTTGGGATCCCATGTGTTGCAGCCGTATTGGGGGTAGAAAATGAAGGCAAAAGTGTTGTAGAAGTCTGTAAGAGTAAGGACTGGAAAGCACTTGCCTCCAAATATGGTTTGAAGCAGAAGGTGATATATGCTGAAATTGAAGAGGAAATAAAAAGTGGATCTGAAGACCAGAGTTCTATTATACCTTGTATGTATCTTTCTTTGTCCAACGGGTGATACGTCAACGAACAAGGAATATATGAAGCTCATTTACGATGAAGGCTTGAAGGGTGAATTCAATTGGACTGAATATATCCATTCGAGATTGATTGAATCAATAATCACCTTTAAAAAGGGCAGCCAGAGATACCTCAAATGGTGCATAGCAATCTTAGAGGTGAATGAGTTGAAGAACTTTTTTGTGTTTTTATATAAAATGATAGTATAGTTATTATATAAAAATATAAATTTTATTATAAATGCAGGTTGCACTGTTCGATTTTTGGTCAGGCTGTGAGGCAGTACCGACTTATGAAAGAACCGGAGTGGCACACATCCGTGCATGGGGGAAGGAAGAGGTGGTAAGAGTGATGATGAAGTTGAAGTTGGATAGAGCGAAGAAGCAAGAAAGGGTAATAAATGTAATTAAATAATATTAAGAATATAATCAATGTCTTAATATTGTAATTTAATTTTGAAGGTTATTGGCAAGGATGTAGAGAAGGTAGTGGAGGCAGAGGAGAAGAAAGGAAAGATGGTTGTATTGGGGGATGACGGTGAGGGGGACGACGATGAGGGAAAACAGAGTAACTTCGACATTTTGATGTCTGAATTGGCTGATATAAAAAAAATCCAATTTTATATCATGCAAAGACAATTAAGAGTCGAAGAGAAACTTGATAGAGTCGAAGAAAAACTTGAGAGAGTCGAATATACACTTGAGAGGCATAAGGGGGTAATGGAAGGAAAAATAGATGGAGTGGTGAAAGAAGTAGAGGTGTTGAGGGGTGAAGTGGTGAAAGAAGTTGAGGTGTTAAGGGGTGATCTTAAGATGGTGACGGGTGAAAAATTTGAGGGAGTGGTGAAGGAGGTTGTGGAATTGAGGAGTGAACTTACGGGGGTGAAGGGGGTGGTTGATAAATACTTGGATGAAGGAGATCAATTGAAGGGTGAAATAAAAGAGATGAAGAGCTATGTA